GTGTGTGTGTGTGTGTGTGTGTGTGTGTGTGTGTGTGTGTGTAGGGGGAGTTTGGTGCCCCTGTTCCTGGATCAATTGGTGGCCAGAAGACACTTTATTGGGGACAGGTTTCAGAGGCTGGGGACAAGTCTTCATTTAGCCACAGGTGACCCAGGTGATAATATGCAGAGAGGAGGCCTAAGATTTCACAGGAAACTGAGAGTAACTGACCCATCTCCCTACCACCCTGTCAAAAGGGCACCGGGCCTCTGTCCTGAGATTGGGTGGCTGCTCTGACATAAGGATGCAAAGGAAATGTGGGGACAGTTCTGAGGAGGTGTGAGGTCCCTGTGGACAGGAACTGGGCTGAGGCTGCTTCAGGGCCCTGCAGTGTCTGGCAGGGGGGCCTCCAAGGCGATCATAAAGGTGGGTGGAGTTACTGAGCTGGATGAAGAACGGGGCTGGGGGCTGTGTGTGGAGCGGAGGGACCCCTTCCTCTGTTATCGAAACTCTCCACGTTGCGTGTGGGCGCCTCCCTAGCAATCCGGTCATTCATCCATGTACTAGGACGGGACTGTTAACCACAGGAGGATTCAGCCTCTGACACCCTCCTTGGAGATGCTCACAAGGGGGGAGGGATTCCATCCTGTCTCTGGGGCGGCAGGTGCTAAAAGTCTCATGGGCGGGGCTTCCCTGGTGGCGCAGTGGTTGAGAGTCCACCTGCCGATGCAGGGGACGTGGGTTCGTGCCCCGGTCCGGGAGGATCCCACATGCTGCGGAGCGGCTGGGTCCGTGAGCCATGGCCGCTGAGCCTGCGCGTCCGGAGCCTGTGCTCCGCAACGGGAGAGGCCGCAACAGTGAGGGGCCCGCGTACCGCAAAAAAAAAAAAAAAAAAAAAAAAGTCTCATGGGCGAGTTACCCACTTCCCTTAGGCTCAGATGCCTCACTACAGCATCACTTCAGTAAGTCTGTGACGAATGCATGCTTTTGGGGTTGGAGGGTAGAGGGTTGTCCTGGTTGGGGGTGGGCGTGGGTGGATGGTTGGTGAGAGTACTGAGTCGGGGGTTCAGCTCCCAGGTGGATCTCTGGCTTGAGCTCGGGATTCTGAAGGTGCCTTTTACAGTCCCGCTGCAGAACCCCTCCCAGCAGCTGTTCCCAGGAGCCTATTGTCACCTTGGGGCTTTGTATGGCCACAGCAGGGTGGGGCGGCTTTGTCTCAGGAGGCCTGGGAAGTTGCACCTCAGAGCACCTCATGTGGGGGACTGAGGCGGGGGTCAGGGTGTGGGTGATCCCCAAGGGGCAGGTTCTGAGAGACTGTAACTCCCAGTGGGGCGTAGGAATCAGGTGAATGTACTTTGGGGGGGTTAATTTTGATCACAAGGAAGGGGCTCAGAATGTGATGGGGGGACTCTGAGTGAGGGATCACGGGGTGGGGGGCTGACGTCTCGGCGTGTACTCTCAGAAAAACTGTAATTCCTGGGGGGTGTCAAACTCTGGGTGATCTTAATGGGGGAGGGCCAGCATGTGAATTGCGGGGATGTCTAAGTGTACGTGTGATGGGGGTGAAGATCCGAACGAGTGTGCCAGCGGGGTGTGTGGCTGGGCATCGGAGTGGGCTGGTGTGGGGCAGCTCTCCGGAGGGCAGGAGCCTCTGGTCCCAGGGAGGGGAGAGTCGGAAGCAGAGCCGCCAGGAACTGACCAATGGGGAGAGCGCCCGTATTTGCACTCAGGAGCCTGCAAATTCCTGGGCCCTCAGAAATCCGCCCGACACCGTCCCCCCTCCCCCGCCCAACCCCGGGCATAAAAGGCGCCAGGTGAGGGCCTTGCCACTCCTCTTGCCGACTGCAGCCACTCCGACCGGTGTCGCCCGCGTCCTCCTTCGCCATGACTTCCTACAGCTATCGCCAGTCGTCGGCCACCTCTTCCTTCGGGGGTCTGGGCAGCGGCTCCACGCGCTTCGGGGCGGGAGGCGCCTTCCGCGCGCCCAGCATCCACGGGGGCTCGGGTGGCCGCGGCGTGTCGGTGTCCTCCGCCCGCTTCGTGTCCTCGTCCTCCTCCGGGGGCTACGGCGGCGGCTATGCGGGCGCCCTGGCCGGCTCCGACGGGCTGCTGGCGGGCAACGAGAAGTTCACCATGCAGAACCTCAACGACCGCCTGGCCTCCTACCTGGAGAAGGTGCGCGCCCTGGAGGAGGCCAACGGCGACTTGGAGGTGAAGATCCGCGACTGGTACCAGAAGCAGGGGCCCGGGCCCGCCCGCGACTACAGCCACTACTTCAAGACCATCGAGGCCCTGCGGGACCAGGTGGGAGGCGGCCCGGCCGCGGGAAGTGCACCTGCCGCGTATACCCAGCCCCGCGGGGCGGGTGAGGCCCGAGGCGGGGCCGGCGGGCGCCAGAGCCACCTCCCGGCCGGGGCGGGAGCGAGGGTTAGGATGGGGGAGGGCCCGCAGGGTGGGGCGGAGGGAAGCCGGCCGGTGAGGAGGGGCAGGACCACGGGGCAGGAAGTGGAGGCCTGGTGGGGGGGAGCGGGTTAATGTGGGGGACTGGAGGGCGGGAGGAAGAAGGCGCGCCGGTCGGCTAGGCCTGGGAAAGGGGGGAGGAAGGAGGGGGAAGAGATGGGGCGCGCTGTGGGCTGCCCTGAGGTCTGGACCTGAGTCGCTGTCCTGAGGTCTGGACCTGAGTCGCTGTGCAACAGGGAAATGCAAGAGTTTGGCCAGGGAGGAATCTGGTTCTCGCCAGGCCAGACCTGCCTTCTGCTGCCCCCGGTGTGAGGCCCTCTGCATTCCTTGTCTCCCGCCGGGCGGGTCTGGTTTCCATCACGCTGAGGCTGAAGCCCCTCCCCCGCCCAGGGGGCCACTGGGGACTTAGAGGAGCTCTAAGAAGAATGGGCGAGGCTAACTCTGGCCCCTGGGCAAGGAGGGACGTATGCTGTGGTCCCCGGACTGGGTGAAGGAGAGACGAATGCTGAGCTTGTGAAGACCTCTGTGGAGAGGCCCCGTGCCGTGTGGGTGGAGACCCCAAGTCCCAGCTACAGCCTCTTGCTGGGAGGCCCTCAGGGTCCTTCAGGGTGGGGCTTGGTCTCTGCCCACAGGGAACAGCTCAGAGCTGGGATCTCGGTCCCGAAGAAATGTTTCAGAAGCCAGTGGGACATTTAACAGCCTCACACGTTGGGTCTCCAAACGCACAGTCCCCGCAGCGTAGGCCAGGGCCCACCCTGTGCCTGGCGTGGTGCTGGGTGCCAGGGGCCTAGACCAGACCCGTAGATGAGGGAGAGCTAGAGATGTAAACAACGAGCATAGTGCTTTCAAACTTTATAAACTGTGACCTACACAAGGGAATACACTTTGCCTCAAAGAGGAGGCACAAAGTGTCAGCACATAATAGATGCTCGACAGAGCGCTTTCCCTTCCCCGAAGGCAGAAGGTGCTTTGAGTGGGGGTCAGACCACAGGTCAGACCACAGCCCGCCCCTGTGCTCCCTGCATCTGGTTTGCGGATCACTAGAAGTTGCCTCCCTATGAGCATTTATAGTTTTCCTGGGTGCAGGTCGTGGAGACTTTTCCCCCCAGGCTTACCTCCCTGCCCTTCCCATTTCCCCCTGGCTCAGCCTCCCTGGCGGTAGTTTCTCCCGCTCCAGCTCCTGGGCCTGGACCCATTCCAAGGCCTCCCAGGGAGCAGGCTGATGGGCAGCCTGGGGTGGCTGAGGCTTTGGTCTCCAGGCGGTGGAGGCACACAGGCACGCATACTCCTTTGCTCTTCTCTCTCCTCTGGGAAGAAAGTGGGTGGACAGTGCCCATGTACGAACTGGTGCCAACCTCCTGCCTTCCGCCTTCCAGATTCTTGGTGCCACCATTGAGAATTCCAAGATAGTCCTGCAGATCGACAACGCCCGTTTGGCTGCAGATGACTTTCGAACCAAGTGAGTGTCTGTGCCTTGGGGGCTGCAGAAGCCAGGGCAGGGGAGGGGGGCAATCTCAGGCACTTATGGGGCTCAGTGCCGTGGGGGAAATGGACTCTGCTCTCACCCACCCCAGCTGGTCTGAAGCACACCCCATCCCCCATGGGCCCCTGAACCCAGGGGAGGTGGGGAAGTCTTCAGAGGTGCAGAGGAAATGCTGGCCTGACAGCAACTATTTCCTCCAAAAGGTTTGAGACGGAGCACGCCCTGCGCGTGAGCGTGGAGGCCGACATCAACGGCCTACGCAGGGTGCTGGACGAGCTGACCCTGGCCAGGACCGACCTGGAGATGCAGATCGAGAACCTCAAGGAGGAGCTGGCCTACCTGAAGAAGAATCACGAGGAGGTGGGTTTCAAGCTGGGCTTCCCATCCATCTCCGCCCAGCTTCCCAGAGCTGAGGACACTTTTCTTTATCCTGTATCCTCTGACCGTGGCCACATCTGCTGCACCCTTGACCTGGCCCTGAGTGTGTCATGTGGCTCCCAAGGGTTCCAGCAGGGGATGGTGGTGACCCCATCTGTACCCCAGCGCTGGCTCCTAGGTCTGCACCTGAAAACCAGACCCCTATGGCCTGGGGGATGGGGGAGTGACCTGGCTCAGGCCCCGCAGGCTCTGGGCCCTGACATGCCCATCTCTGTTGTATCTTTCTAGGAAATCAGTGTCCTGAAGGGCCAGGTGGGTGGTCAGGTCAGCGTGGAGGTGGACTCCGCCCCGGGCATCGACCTAGCCAAGATCCTGAGTGACATGAGAAGCCAATATGAGGTCATGGCTGAGAAGAACCGGAAGGATGCTGAGGCCTGGTTCACCAGCCAGGTATGGAGGGGGAGGCAGGTGCCCCTTGGGGAGGTGGCAAGGAGAGTGGGCTTAATGCTCCCAGGCAAGGGTCTGCCTCAGCGCTTACTCCCTCTGCCTCCTCTCACTGCAGACTGAGGAGCTGAACAGGGAGGTCGCTGGCCACACGGAACAGCTGCAGATCAGCAAGACAGAGGTCACCGACCTGCGGCGTACCCTCCAGGGTCTGGAGATCGAGCTGCAGTCTCAGCTCAGCATGGTATGTGCCTTCTGCCCTGTGGGATGCACACTCGTGTCCTTGCGGCCTCGGGCAGCCTGGATGGTGGCTGGGCCCATGCCGTCGCTGGGCACCAGGCTCTGCTGAGTCTCCTTCCCTCTCCCTGCCCTCAGAAAGCTGCCCTGGGAGACACGCTGGCCGAAACGGAGGCTCGCTTTGGAGCCCAGCTGGCGCAGATCCAGGCGCTGATCAGTGGTGTCGAAGCCCAGCTGAGCGATGTGCGTGCCGACACCGAGCGGCAGAACCAGGAGTACCAGCACCTAATGGACATCAAGTCCGGGCTGGAGCAGGAGATCGCCACCTACCGAAACCTGCTGGAGGGCCAGGACGCCTACTACAACAACCTGTCCACCCCGAAGGTCCTCTGAGTCTGGCAGCCTCCTGGCCTTCCTACCCTGCTGCAGAGGGATTCCCCTGGGTAGGGGCATGGGAGGGGAGGGACCCTTATCCCTGGCTCTCCCCCGATCTTCCAATAAAACTTTATGGCCCAAGGGAGGAAGGACGTTGAGTTTGTTATTTCAGCCCATGGTGGGGGGGGGGGGGCAGGCCTTGGCACTGTTTAGGTTTTATTGTTTAGGTTTCATTTGGACCAGAGTCCACGCTTTCCCCGGAAAGGGGAGGGAGGGTGCTCACAAACTCCAGCTGTTACAGTAATTCCTTTGCAGAGGTCTTCCTGTATCTCACCTGTTCCCTAAAACAAGGATGTTTAATAAGCATTGCTCCCATTTTACAGAGGGATAAACTAAGGCTCAGAGAGGCGAAGTGGGTTGTTGTATATATAACTGTTCTAACACATGGCAAAGGTGGGATTTGAAACTGGTTTTTGCTTCCAGATTTAGTTTTCTTTCCACTGAACTCACCCCTAGGGTTGGTTTGTGTTTGTGTATCTGTAATTAATGTTTACTGAGCACCTACTAAGTGCTATTTAATCAAACAACCCTGAAAGGTAGTGAGTTGTATCCTATAGAGTAGGAAGCAGGCTCAGAGAGGTTAAGTAACTTGAGCAAGGCCACATAGCAACTACGTGGCAGAGCTAGGGCCAGAATTACATTTCCTGATTCTTAACCCACAGTGCCACCCCTGCACCCCATCTCCTAGGATGACACTGCTTGTGCCATTTCCTCTGTACATTCCAGTCTTGCTGTGTGTGAAGGCCTAGGACTGGGATCCCCTGAGGCAGTTCCTCCTGACAGGATTTTCCACCTAACTTAAGGAGAAACTGGGGCTTTGGGGTCAGGGGGCGGGCACCAGCTCAGAACAGGGCTGGAGAGGGCGCCCTCGGTGGGGTGTGTGTGCGCATGCACTGACACCTCCATCCATCCCCTGGCAGCCCCGCGTAAGCCCCTTACGCCCACCAGCCCACACCTGGGCTCAGAGCCTGGAATAGGACCCAGCTGTGACCCAGACCTCCCACAGAGACCCCCAAACTGGCTTGCCTGGGGCCCGTCCCGGGCCCCCAAAGGAATGCAATTCCCAGCTTCCGGGTACAACTCTGCTCTTGGGTTGGTATGGTCCTGTCCCTGTGATTTACAGCTTAGCTGCCAAGAACAGAGGCCAATTAAAGGTAAATATGTCCCACTTCCCCCAGCAGAGAGGTTCAGGCTGAGTGGGTCTGTTCAGGCCCCGTGGATCTGTCTGTGACAGCGGCCGACCCTGTGAGGCAGGGGGCTGAGTGAGGCGGAAGGTCTCTAGGCGGACAGATGGACGCTCTGCCACCTGTGCTCAGCACTGCGCTAAGGAGGCTCAGGACCCCGCCATACCTGGTGTTCATCCTGAAGGGGGTGCTTTTTTCGCCATTTTCCATGAAGCTTGGTAGGCTCATTAGCTTACTCCAAATCACAGGCTGGTGACCCCCGAGCCCAGCTCTTCCCGCTTCCCCTGCCGCAGCCCTGGGCCAGGAGCCCCTTCTGCCACGTCCCCAGTTATTCCGCTCTGGCCGTCAGCACCTACAGACTCACTCTCCCACTTGACTTAGGAGGCCTTGGAGCTAGAGGCCAGAGGCCTGGCTGCACCCCCAGTCCCAGGCTGGGAGTGCCCAGATATTTGTCCCCTGTTCGTGAAAGCCTCTGTTGTCACAGCTGAAACCCTCTTCTGTGCCCCAGAGGCCCCTGGAATGTGGCTGTGAGGCGGGGTCTGGGCCCCATACAGGTGGGGCTGGTGACTGGGTCTCAGGTCTGGGTGTCAGGAATAAAGCTTTCCTTTGTGTGCAGGTGCGCGCGCGTGTGTGTGTGTGTGTGTGTGTGTGTGTGTGTGTGGACACTTTTCTGTCTCAGTCTGGGAGCTGAAACTAGGGGTACTGTGTTGACAGGAGCAGCTGGGATAGAGGAAAGGGAGCGAGAGGAAGGGGGAGGGGATTTGGGGGGGGCAGCCCTGCTGGTCATCTTGACCACTTCAGTTTGCAAGCATTTCCGGTCTGTCATCTTGCTCCATCCCCGTGAGTCAGACTGGGCCAGAGTTATTTCCATTTTTCCAATTGGTAGACTGAGGCTCGGAGAGAGGAGGCTTGATTACTCAACGCCATGTAACTAATAAATGAGAAATGAGGAATTCTCCAGGTCCCAGGGTATGCCCTCTCTCTGACCCTGGCATCTCCCTGGGGAGCAGAGGAGATTCTAACATCTATGGAGGTCCCCACTCCCCCTGTGACACTGAATGCTCACTGTGGCCCTGTAGCTGGGGCCAGTGTTAATGGGGTCAGTGTGTTTTTTTTTTAAATTTTTTTATTGTGGTAAAATACACATAACATAAACATTACCATCTTACACATTTCTCGGTGCACAGTTCTGTGGCAGTCCTGTGCACTCACATTGTTGTGCAAGCATGTCGTGCAAGCATCACCCTCCATCCTCATAACTCTTTCTATCTTGTAAAACGGAAACTTTATCCCCATTAATCCATAACTCCTCATTCTCTCTCCCCACCCCTGGCAACCACCATTACACTTTCTGTCTCTATGATTTTGACTCTTCTTAGTATCTCATGTAAGTGGGAAAATGGCCCAATTTTAAGTCAGGAACCTGGCTCGGAGATGTTGAGCCACACCCAGAGGTGGAGTCCAGCTCAGGCTCTTTCCACTGGGCTGCATCGTCCCATCCCTAGGAGGGAAGGCTGGCTCTGGGACAGCCTGTCTGCCTGCAGTGGGCAAAGGACAGAAACTGGCACAGCATCCCGGGCGGGCTGCCTGGGGCAGGGCCCAGGTCTGCAGTCTGGGCTGGAGCCAAATGGAGCTTGGTCTCCACCCTTGCCCAGCCATCACCTTCTGGCGCTAGTGAATAGGCTCCGGCCACCCAGGCCTTGAGCTCATAGGAACTGTTTGGACCGAAACCAGGGATTTGTGACTGGGGCAGCTGCTGCCTGGCCTGGGCCTGAGAGCGTAGGGAAAGCCCCCTTGAGGGGCTGCTGGAGGGGAGTCAGGGTGCAGAGAGAGGCTGGCTGGGGTCCAGCCCTCCCTCACCCCGGGGTGATGCCACATAATTTTTCCCGGGGTAATTGCTGGGGCCGTAATGTCTGCAGAGGCTTTAATGAGCTATGGCTGATCTGAGTTTGATTATTTTTCTTTCAGAGGAAAGGACAGTATCCTCCCATCCACGAGACAATACCTCACTGTCTGGGCCCAGCACTCAGAGGCTGGCTCACTGTGATGCTGGGTGAGGAGAAGCCCACCCCCACGTACCAGGAATACTCCACTACCCCAGCTCAGGTGCAGGAATCTGGAGTCTGGGGAGGGGAACATCTTCTTTTCCTGTCTCCTGTTTGAGTGTGGGGGGGGGGGGACGGTCAGAGGACCCAGTGAGTCCCGGCGATGCCCTCTTACTAGCTGTGCCACTTATACAAATCACTTCCCTCTCTGAGCTGCAATTTCATTCCTTCTGAAATAGGGGCAGGGATCATCTTCTTAGCTGTGAGGAACAGAGGAGGCATGGATGCAGAAGTGCACTGTAAACTGTGAAGGATGCGGTGGAAGTAAGAATTTACTGTTATTAGAGCAATAATAACAATGACCTGCATTGCCCAGTAGGTGCTGGTTACGGAAGAATATGGCAGACTGTGACGGTCACTCACAGGGCAGATCTGATGCCCAAGGACAAAAAAAAAGTCCCCGCAGGTGATGCTACTTGGGAGTCCTAAGTATTGGACATGCACCCCACCATCCGGTGCCTCAGAAGACGGGGAGCAAGGAGGAGGCAGGATGGGGGCTTTTGGGCCTCAGGGCTTCCCCGTAAGTGGGAGCTGAGAGTGCCCGTTGCCACAAGGAAACTGAGACTTGAATGGTACCGTGTCCAAGGTTTTCCAAGCAGTGATGGGTAGAGCCAGGCTTGAAGCCAGGTCCCAGGGAATCCAGAGCTCCATCAGCTTCACGGTGCTGCAGCTGTGGTCCAGGAGTCCTCCTCCTGACCCTCCAGCCTGGTCTTGCTCACTTCCCCGCCCCTGGCTCTCTCTAAACCCCGTAGCCAAAGCCAGAGGGCCAGGCCACACCTCCGGTGGCACTGCCCACAGGTATCAGGTATCCCCGGAACACGGGCCCCTGAGCTGGCGGCGGAGAAGAGGGCTCTCCTGAGTGTTGGACTCCCCTCTTTGGCCTCAGCATCCTGCTCTCTGAAGCGGTGCCTCGACCTTCAAGATCTCCGAGGTGTCTTCCAGCCTGCCCTGCGGGCCTCTCTATCCCCCCACCCCTCACGGTGCTCAGGCACATACAGCTTTCTGGATCGGATCCCTCCTCAGCTTCACGGTGCTTGATGGGACAAACAGGGTTAATCTAGCGCCGCTGTGCAGCGACTTGCCTCTCCCTGGAGAAAGCAGGGGCTTTCTGGAACTTGCTCCCGTCTTATCTGCAGAGGTTTGCCCCAACTTGTCCCAGGAGCAAGCAAAGGTTCAGTGACATGTAGTTGGCAGGCGGTGGGATTATCAATCAGCCCCTTGTCAGCCCTGAGCCCGCTGGCTTTTGTGAGAATGCCAGTGCCATGGGGCTGAGGGCCAGTGTGGGGGAGCTGGAGAAGAAGGAGGGGAACTGGGGGTGGGAGAGGAGAGGAGGAGAGGGGTCCATTTGGAGCATCAGGGAAGTGACAGATGCTGGCCCCTCTGGTCACCTCAGCTGGAACTTGACTCAGGATCCCTCTCCTGTCCTCAGCCTATCCCTGTGGGCCCTGCATTCCTCTGTGTACCTCTGCCCGCCAATGCCCAGAGCCTGCAGGCTCGCACATGGGGTCTGTGAGAGGGACTGCACAGGGCAGCGATGAAAAGTGGATTCTCGAACTGAGAGCAGGGAGCCGGCCACCTGCGGGCAGCAGAGAAGTCCAGCGGAATGTGGAGCTGGCCTGAGCCTCTAAGAGTGCAGGCGGAGGCCTGGCAGACGTGATGCGAGTTTGCTTCTTTCGGTTTTCTCCTGGAGAGTAGAGATGAACCTGTAATCCAAGTGTTAAAACCATGGCCCGGGGCAAAACACCATTCATTCTGAATCATCTCTTTTGTTGCATTAAAAAAATAGAAAGAAAAGAAAAACCCC